CCCAAGCCAACTCTTAACCAACACGCCACTAGGCTGGCCCTTAAGGAACCATTCTTCACATTCGTTTTGTCAGGTTTCTAGTAGAACTACACAGGACTACATGACGGTTAATGCTTGAGACTGGGGGCCCCCAGCTCCCCCCAGCTCTCTTGTAGCTGGCCGTTCTCTGGCCACTCACCTCATTTCATTCATACCACAATCCATGAAGAAGGCGTGAGTGCCAGAGCCCTCTTCATCTGACAGGATGAAGAAATGAGGCACAGTGAGAGGGAGGCAAGAAGCCGTCACAAGATGCACGCAGGTTTTGCATTATAAAGCTGCCCACAGGGGCCGCCCTGCTTCATGTTTTCTCCCTAAGCTGGTGTTATGTTTGCAGCTGGCAGGATGAGGAGAAATAAATGGTTTCCTAGTCTGGAGCCTCTGGAGGATGGTGGTGAAGAACTCTCAACAGACATACCATTGGGGAATGTCCCCATATTAGCCTAAGTGAAATAATCATGGCAGTCAATTATGGTCCTGGCTGCTCTGACCTACTGTCTCTATCAGTGGGAACTTGAGCCCAGGACAGCTGATTTCCCTCTCATGATTCCAGAATTCAGCAGAGGGCACAGGGCCAGCTTTGCAACGGCCAGAGGGAACCTGACACAGGGAAGATCTACAATATTTCCCCTGGCAACAAATTTACCAATAATGACATACTGAAGACTAATAGATAAAACAGTGCATTTTGCTAGTCATTGCTTTCTTAAGAATAATACGTCCCAGTGCTTTTAAAGTTTCTAAATTAAAGGCTTCCCTGCCTTCCCCCACCCCCACTGATGTATCATCAGCCATGAAGAAAATCAACACAGAATTTCACCTTATTAAGAAGTTCTTTCAATTCCTCCTGAGTTTTCACTATCTTCTTCCAATGTTCAATCTGCTCATCTTTGACGTGCTTTTCTTGTAACCTAAGAGAGACAATACATATGCCCTGGTCACAAAGCCAGCTTGGAGCACAAGACAGGTATCCAGCGAAAACATTCAAGGGTAACAAGGCTCACTGAAATTTCCAATACTTTGGAACAAGAAAGTTTTCTAGGCTATTTTAAATCCAGATTAGTACCATAAAAGCCATGGATTTTAGAACTGAGAGGGGCCTTAAGTATCATGTAATAATTTTAAAGGGTTTTACTTTTGGATTTAATTATTTCACATAAAAATAAGCGAAAATTAGCTCAAATAAGGCTTGCTGAAAAACTTAAAACATAATCAGCACACCTCACAATGGAATTCACTAGACAATACGCAGTGCTGAGTACTTACTGAATGACAACCTCCAAGGCCTGGCCGAGGGACACAGGCTTATTATTGAGGACATTGAAGTCGAGCTGATGGCTAAGGTAGGACGTAGCTTCCAGAAGCCGGTTAAACTCTTGCTCCACCATTTCATCTTTCTCTTTGGGAACCTGAAAAATCCGAAGTATAGCAGAGTTGGTCCTTATAAGACTAACCATAACCATCCAGGAAAACACAAATGCTCTACAGTTTAAAAGGTCAAAATATGTATCTCAAAGGGAAAACCTTTGAGGACAATGATTCAAACTTTCTTTTCTATGAAGTGGTCAATTCCATTAAATGAGATATGAAATGTGTTTGGCACTGATATTTCCCTATTCCTCCGATTCTGCCCTCAGAGCTGTGACTCCCTGTCTATTGAGAGCCACAGGATTCACACTGGTGCTGAATGAAGTTCCGTGGAGCACAGGGGGCCCTGGGGCTGACATGCACTGGGCTGCCACGCAAACAGCGCGCTGGGAAAGTCCCAGAGAACAAAAGCTATGTCAACACACCTGAGGACCTTCCAGAATAAGCGAAGGATGAACAAATAAGCCCAAGGTATCTGCTTCCGCTCAGAGATGACAGAATTTAGGTGGGAATAGGAAAGAGAGAAGTGAAATCCATGGCTATTAATAAGAACACAATAGCACCTAATTCTTTTGCAGGGTAATAGTGTTTTATGGTACCAATTAAGTTCAGAGTTGAATGCCCAAATCTTAGACTGTGAGTGACTGAGGTACCAGGTCTGGCTCATTCTAATGGAGGAAAAGAACAGACTGCAGATAAGCTCAGCAAGCTGCAAGACCATGCCCTAGTCCCTGCTGGGCCCCGTCTATTTATAGCATCAGTTTGTTGATACAAATCCCTCACTACTGCTTAATCCAGCCCCCAAGTAAACGGTATCTGCAATTCTATTGCTAAAATCATGATAGCTGGAAAGATGGAAAAAGCTCCTCTGCTGCAAGCATCTCTTGCCATGATCTGGCATCAACTGGGAAATGGGATTCAAAATATGGACTTTCGCCTTACAGTCAACCAAAACTTGGTAACAAGAAAATGAAACATTAAAGCAAGTTCTAATAAACACTAAGGCCGAGGGGCCGTGATCTTTTACAATCTGGGATAGCTGATTGTGGACAAGATCATAGTAAGACTTGACCTCTCCTCTGAAAGGCCTTAGTTTCTGCCCTTCCCAATGAAATGGATGATTTCAAAGCACAAGCCTCGGCCCGTTCACTGATGAGTCACAAAGTAACTCTCGGATAAGCCATGGTGTGGCAAAGAGAACGTGGCCAGAAGTACAATCCACACCAAAAAAGGGGCAAAGGACAGCAAACTTTCCTTTGGAACTGTAAATGACAAGACACCAGAATGGATTCAATCAAAATCATATTTTAAAGTATCAAATTCTAAAAGGCCACACACGGGAGAGATCAGGAAATCTTTATAAGTTAGAGAATCCTCCTTAGTCTAAGAGAATAAATCCCTGAGAATCTTCTGGTTTATGTTGAGAACTAAGGCAGAGAATCAGGCTTTGGATGCTTGGTGCCATTTATCTATCAGGGTGATACCTAGGACTCGATGGATCAAACACACCTGATGTCCCATTCAACTCCACGGCCAAAGAAAGGGGCTCTCGGTGACATTCCTACTTCTGATTACACAGTTATCAGAGCTAGTGGAAGAGAACCATTTGTCAGAAATTTCATTTACTTTCTCATCAGTTACTGTTCCGCACTGATGTGAAGGTCATATACAGAGCAGCTCAAAGCAATGCTGAAATTTTACTCAGTGTAATTCTTGCAATGATGCTACAAAAGATGGTTCTAGAAACTCTGAATTTGGTGATCCTTTAAAAAAGGAAATAATTACATTTTCAACATGGAATCTACAATACATAGTTATGAGACCTTAACGATCATAGATGCAACGTGCATGAGTGCTTTTCCTGGAGTACAAAAAAAGGTGGCTTCTAAAATGCCTCGCAAGGGGATGCTATAGCAGCAAGAGGGACCAGATCACATATGCCTCTACAATAGGGCAGGATGTGCCAATACACAAGTGTGCAAACGGTACAGATTAAAGCTCCTCCAGTGTCAACTGGATGACTTGCTTCAGACAAGCTTTAATCTTTGCAGCTAGGGTGAGCCACATAGGGAAGATCATACTGAAAAAGTACGCAGCACTCAGGCTCAGTAACTAGGGTCCAGCGTGTGTGGTAGAGAAATATTTAAAGGGACACTGTCAAGGTTAAAGGGACCAAATTTGACCTTTTGTTTCTTCCCTGTTTGCTGAGCAGCCCACTTGATTTATTACGCTTTCCCCTTTAGCCCACCCAAACCCCCCACAAAAAAACCCTGACTTTTTACATGCGCTTTCAGTGACAAAAACTCAAATGGCACCAGCCCAACACATAGGCGCAACTCTACAACAACAAACCAGTGTGAATGTATGATGGAGAGGACCTCTGGAAGGAAAGATTTACATCTCAAGCTTTTAATGGGTTATTGTAAACAGTGAGGAAAATGATTTGAAAAATTATGAAAAAAAATACCTTGACAGTGTCCTTTTAACCAGTGCAGCAGAGAGAGAAATAAACTGTAAATAACAGCCCAACAGCCACATCAAGTTTAGTTTTGTATGACAGCAGTAAAATCAAGGCTTTAAACACACAGCATGACAGAAGCATTCTATTAGCCCAGAAGCTGCAACCACCAGAGAAATAAGGAACAGACTGTACATAGACCAAAATGGGAAAGTCAAGGCATAGAAATGGGCAAAAGAAAGCAGTTTGGTGGGGAGGGGTGGGGGGAAAGGGAGATAGTGTCAGAAAGCAATGAGGAATAAAGCAAAATTTAATAAAAGAGAAAAGGAGAAACACAGAACAGAAACAAGAACAACAAACAGAAACCAAACCAAAAGAGTACTGCCATGTCTGACTGACATCAGGATGACTGCATCTCCGGTACACCAACCATGCTAACTCGAGGCTCCACTTAAGGTGACTATAAGAAACAGTCAGCAGTCAGGCCCCATCCATTTTCTGCCTAAACAATTACAGAACTGTTGCCAGGAAGACTAAGGATAGCTTTGAAACCTGAATTTTTCCCTATTAACTCTAGAATTCGACTTTGAAATTAAAGGACTCTTTGGAAAATAGTAAATACTTGTCCATTAATCAGTATTGACTGGGCAAAAACCAAAATGTGTTTTTGACATATTTAAATTTTGAATCAATTTGTAAAATTACGCTACATATATTCTATTCGACATACCCAGACAATGAAAAGAACTTGAGCAAATGACGACCTTTAAGTACCCCCGTAAATGACCTGTTTCAGGTCATTTCCTTCCCTTTGGTGAGAACCCTTGGTCTCTGTTATAGTTCCACAAATACTTATGGGAAGGAGCTGAAATACTGGCAATCTCTAAACACAAGCTGCAGTGATTTTAGTTTTACCTGACCATTCTACTCTAGGTTCTTAAACTGTATCCTGAGAGGAACTCGGCAAATGATTACAAAGGATTACGCGCTATGTTAGATAGCAGCTGGATTTCTGTATCACAGAACAGTAAGAACATGTAACAGCAAACAAAAAAGCAATTTTTTCTAGAAAACTCTGATACAGTGTTCTAGTAAAGAGTTAAACAAAAACGATATCACTTGAAACAGGTTTTGATTATGAATTTTCAGTCGTTTATTTCCCTATGAAAAAATCCAGATAAACAGTTCCTTCAAGACTAAGAAAATTCGGTGAGTCTCACTGAACTAAGTGGGGACAATCCTAATTGTTTTGGTCCTGTAGACTGTATGGAGCACCCCTGAACATGAGTGGGGCGGTGGCAGCCTGTGCACACATCTAGCCTATGCAGCATAAATTTAGGGAGAGCTACGCAACTCTCTGGACAGGGTCCCTGATCCTGCAAGAAGTCATCTCAAAGGAAGGACAACCTGCCTTAGTTCTACCTCTGGCTGCATTCTACCATCACAAGCTCTTTAAGTCTTCAAAACCATCGACCTCACTTCCAGTATCTGTAAATTCTTTAATAGCAGAGCAAAATGGAGTTAAGTGCAGCTAGGTTCTGGATACAGATCTGACATTTAGCCAGAAAAGTTCTCAGAAAGAAGAACACACTGAGAAAAGCTGTAATGGCCAACTCTGGCCAACAGAGGCCAGTCAGCCTCTACCTCTCCCATCCCCATGCACTTCTATAAGTACCATAAAACAAAAGATTAACATGAGAGCTCCTCTGGTAAACGTGGAAGAAGAAATTTACATCTGAAGTCTCTAATCAGATTCCCAAATACGGTAGCCAAGGGAAATGAGATACAGCTGCTACCCCTAAAGGGCTAACAAGGGAGAATAAGGACAAGCACATCCTCAATCCAAATAAAATTCAGTGTGATTCTATAAAAAGACTGTTGCCTTCCTCTCCCTCTTTAAACTCAGGGAATTTCTTCGGTAATGTAAATATTTGGCTTCCTTAAAGCAGCGACTAGGCTGGCTATGCGGAGAAGGCACATGGCGTGTCTGAGGAGTACACTCTAGTAACCAGCATATAGCAGAGGTGCTCAGTAAATTCTTGTTAAAATGAATAAATTAATAGTTTGGAAAAGCAAAGTCAGTATTACAACCATATATGAGGAGAAAATAACTATTCTGCAACCTCAGGAACATTAAAGGAAGGCAGGAGATTTCCACCTTTATAAAAAGCAGGGAATGGCAGCCATGATTTTAGAGCAGCGGTTCTCAACCTTCCTAATGCCGTGACCCCTTAATACAGTTCCTCATGTTGTGGTGACCCCCAACCATAAAATTATTTTC